ATGGCATTCTGGTGCTTGATCGATATGCGGTGTGGATGTATTGCCTTTTTTCTTCTTTTTTTCCCGCACAATCACTTTCAGTGTTTCACATCTATTTCCACACCATTAGATTGAGGTCGCGGACCTCACAGTTCCACTTGGTATCGAGAACATTACTCAGCTTAGCTTTGAAACAAAAGTAACGAACTTAAAAGACTATCTCAGAATTACTACCGTCTTCACCCGAATAGAACGCCCGGTCATTATAGCTGTATTCAGTGCAACTTTCAGTCTAGATACGGTGATAATGACTGGGCGTTCTATTCGGGTGAAGACGGTAGCAACTTCTGCGAGGCTAACACGTCCCGAACTGTTGGTAGTAACTTGGTACCGACAACTTAGTGCGGGACTACTAGTATGTCCCTAAAACAGCTCCAGTCGTCTCTCTCAGGGCTACCATTGGGATGTGTTGCTTTTATGCTGTCTTCTCGGAGACTCAATACTTCCATCACCGACCTATTGCAGATGCTAAGAATTATTCATAACCCATCAAACGAGGAGCTGGGGATGGCGATCATGCAGGGGATTCGTGGAACGTGGGAGAAGCTGTCAGCGATTCAAGCCAATTGTGGAATCGAACTGATGCTGGATGAATGCGTCTCTGAGCTGAATCGACGGCTGCACGAGCAAGCAGGGAGGGATGGCGGGATGGGAAGCGGAGGATTAGGGTCAAGCGGGTCGAGCTTTTCAAAGAGGCTGAAGAGGATTCCATCTTGGAACTGCCTGGCAAGAGAGAGTTCGTGGGGAACACTCGAGCTGGATGGACCAGAAGCAGCAGCAGCACCATCACTGCAGCAAACAGGCGGTGGCTGGGCTGGCCCAACATCCTTCCGATCCAGGTCGAAGAGGCCATCGAGCAGCGACAGAAGTGATAGTGACACTGAGGCTGTGGATCTCAAGAAAGTGTCCTGGACACGGGCTGGTGGTCCCTTCATGCGGACAAAGTCGGCATACAACCTTGCCAAGGTATTAGGATTGGAAATGGCAATGGATGGGGAGCAGGTTGGGGGCGGGCAGTCACTCCTGGAAGCGGCGGGGGTCGAAGTACAGAGATCGGCGCAGAGTCATAAAGAGGGTGACGCAGCTACGGACCACAAGCACGAATGGGATGGACCGGGGATGGGAAGCGATAGTGAAGTCGAGGTGCGGAACCGTTTGGCAGGCACACGCCGTGGTTCTCGTGAATCGATACAATGGGAGGTAGGTGAAGTGGAGAAAGTACAGCACGAGGAGGATGGGTCGACGCATGAGTGGGACGGCCCGGGAATGGGTATCGGGGCCGGTAGTAAGGACAAGGCAGGGAAGCAGCTGGCAAATGGACAGTGTGATCTTTGTGCATCATTGCGGTGGGAGATGGGGGACCTAGAGAAACTAATGGACCGGGAAAGGGAGGGGGAGAGTGATAGTGAGCACAAGGCCTTGGCGTTGACAATGCGAAGGTCGCTATGCTCGCCTGATGGTCGTATTAGTCCATCCCCATCCCCTGGCTTGATGGACTGGGACCGATCCAAAAGCAGCGGCAGTACCCTTGGCCCAGCAGCCAATGGAAGAGGAGGTACTAGTTTGCTCGGTAAGAACGATCAGATTGTGCGCCCTAGACAACGATCGTTTGATGGCATGGAGACACTGCGGGAGATGGCCGGTGAGAACGGAACACCGCGATCATCGCGCGAGTTTGCCAGTCCCAGTGAGATCGGAACACCACCACCATCACCCGGCGAGATCGCCAGTCCCAGTGGGAGTGGGAGCCCACGATCAATGTACGAGATTGCCAGTCCCAGTGAGGATGAAACACTGCCATCAGAGTGGGAGTTTTCCAGTCCCAGTGAGAATGGAACACACCAAAGGCTTGACAACGGACAGTGTTCTGAGAAGTCCCCACCTCCCCCTGATGCAAATGGCACAAATGGGAGTGCAGGTGCGCCGAGTGCAGGTGTGCCGAGTGCAGGTGTGCCGAGTGCAGGTGTGCCGAGCTCCGAGAACTGCATAGAGAGCAACCATGTGCCCGCAGTACTGGATAGCGCGCAGAAGGGCAAGGAGAAAGATGAAGGGAAAACAGTGGACAAGGAGCAGGACAAGGAGAAAAGGAGACAGAAAGAAGTGGCCACGGAGTGAGATGGTTGCTCATGTGACCTTCCTATACGTAAGTGATCACTGACGGAAGAATCCTTTCTGTGCTACGCAATGAATGATGATCATCTGTACAAAACGCAGATAGGGGATCCATTCATGCAGAAGGGCATCAAGCCACAAGAAGCTCATCAGAATGATCACGATCTATCTACATATCCTGACTTGCGGTTGGCTGACTACAGAGAATGTGCAGGAATTGAAGTTCATCCCGCAGCAGCTGCATGACTCTAAGTGACGGCAAGCCTTGCCATCATGCATGCCCACATGAAAGAAACAGGAATGCAACAGATGTGTGGGAAGAAATCTGTTTCAGCCTTTCAGGATCTATTTCAAGAGCTTGGGTGAAGAGGGCGGAGTGGATATCGCAGCTGCATATCAAGATTGGCAGGTCAGGTCAGGTAAGATTTTGATGAAGTTACGCACTTTGTGGCTGGCTAAGAAAGGAGTCGGATGGTTGTACACCTGTGGATGTTCCCGTCTTATCTCCTGCCTCCTATTGCAACGAGGATGCTCAGCAGTTCTCCCCGGGCGGAAAGAAATTTCTCACAGATGTGGTTTATCTTTCGGTCACGAGGGTTTTGAGCAGAGCTGGTGCGCCGTGCAGAGACCTTGCCATGCACATTTCGTCGGTGCTATGTGAATTTCTGAAAGTCATGCGCAGTGCGGACGAGTTGTGACAGGTTGTCCGACAACGTCTTGTCCGACAACGTCTTGTCCGACGACATCTTGTCCGACAACGTCTTGTCCGACGACATCTTGTCCGACAACGTCTTGTCCGATGACATCTTGTCCGACAACGTCTTGTCCAACAATGTGTTGTCGTCTATTGTTGTTCGAGTGCTGTGATGGCAGAAATTGTCATGCCACAGCATCTTTGGATTCGTCGACAGTGTTTTTCGTTGGCCGCTATAGTATATACTATATACAGGCAGAGCCGCAGAAGCCAGAAGGCTGAACAATATCAATACGATCCAAGAGAGAATATGTAAATCTTCTTCGCTAGTTGTCTTCACGTCTCAGTAGGGAAGGGAACCACCAATGCAGAGTGTACTGTTGTTTTTTTTTTTTTCGCCTCGAAAATTGCTGATGATTCGTCCAACGTCATGGTGTCCTAATCTTCTTCATCACGACTCGATTTGCGAGATGGTTCTGGAAAAATGTACGATGGGAAGAAATTAAGAATTGTATAGCTGCAAGGTTGTTGCTGTGAACCTGAGAAGCCTGCAGGGTTGAAGAGAACGATTTGCACCGCTCCACTCGACTGTTCATGGGCGCTGTGGAGCCGGGTAGAAAAGGCGTATTCTAACAGAGCATAGCGCAAGTGCATGTGGGCTCTGTGGAGAGAGCCCGATAGAAAAGATGTATTCAACGAACTTTAGCTCATATGACTCGAGTGCGTGTGGGCTCTGTGGAGCCCAATAGGAAAGACGACGTGACATTTCCAGACCTTGTCCACAGAGCTCAACTCTGCTGTGCCTGTGCTCCATGGAAAAGATCGCGCCGGGGATGGCAGTGTACTGGAAACACAGCGAAAACGGTGAAGACCAGGCATCACGACTAACGTCACATGAGTCGTGAGGTTGCTCTCGCGTCAGACAAAGATCAGCAGTAGCAGGTTCAGCAGACGTCATGGCCGCAACGAGGTAAGGGCATTTACGCTTTCTTGGAAGGATGTGAGATGTGTGTTGATGCCAGTGGTTCATCCACTCAAGAGACTGCAGAGTTACAGTGTTGGGTGTGCCACAGTGGCACAAGAGTTTTTGAATTCCGTGCTTTGATTCCGTGCGAGGTGCTGCAGAAAACTTTTGCATGCAAGTTGCTGCACAGTTTTTGCACTGGGTGCAAGGTGCTGTGCAGTTTTTTGGGGCACTCCTTGCAAGGCGCTGTGGGGTTTGTCCACTGGGTGCAAGGTGCTGCCAGGTTCTTGCACTCAGTGTGAAGTGCTGCACAGTTTTTGTGCTTCGTGCAAGGCGCTGCAGAATTTTTGTGCTTGGTACAAGGTGCTGCAGCGCTTTTGCAGTCGATGCAAGGTGCTGCACACTTGTTGCGCGCTGCCAGGGTTTTGCACTTGGTGTAAGGGGCTGCCGGGTTTTCGCACTCGGTGCAAGGCGCCGCCGGGTCCTTGCACTTGGTGCGAGGTGCTGCAGTTTTTTAGCTTGGTGCAAGCAGCTGCAGAGTTTTTGCACTCGGTGTGAGGTGTTTGTCCATTCTAGTCTGTTCATGCGCTCGTGCAAATGTGAATCCTAACCTTGCAAGCTGAAGGCATGCTGAATTTTCAGTCAGAATGGCGGTCTCGAGTTTCAGGGGAGCATCTTGTCAGGTAGGCAAGGGCATGCTGAATTTACGGGCGAGCTAGTCACTATGGTAGTAGGCAGGCCATTCTGACCGAAGGACACTCCGGCTACCATCTGCGGATTTTGGGAGAGATGGGACTTCGAGCAATGTGGTGTGTATGCATGTTTCCTTGCAGGGGCAGCATGCGTGATATGTGTCCCGCCGTCCTCCCTTGTGAGCTATTTCCTTGCCGACTTTTTGTTTGTGGTGTCGGGGCCCGGGGGACTTCCTCTGCACGAGGATTGGTTCTGGTTAAAAGGTTCAGATTTAGGAAAGCTGTTGTTGATATTTGCTGTATTTGCCGATCCTTTGAACATAAAAGCACTCATTCTGATGAGGGAGGGTCTTCTGTTTCACTGAATATATGTCGATGACATCAAATCAATCATCGTGGCGCATCAGCGATGGCATTTGGGAAACTCCGATGAAGGATTTTTATCGACTTTGGTGTTTTGGGGACTCCTCTCTAGGTAAGCAATCGTCCGGGGCCATATACGTAAGTTGATATAACCGCGTTTACAATTTGGAGCAGCAAGGGGAAGCAGCATAAAGACGAATGAGAGGATTAGAGGAGGCGTGGAAACAGGAAATGGTTGCAAGGATTTGTATGTAGAGTGGACAAGATGATGATGGTGATAATCCTTTTAGAAAGAAGGAAGAGTGTTTATGGAAAGATTTTCTCCGTAGTATTTCGCCGAAGCGAGAGGCACACGGTATGCGTTGCTTCCATTTTTGTTGTGCCTTGCCTTTGTATATCCCCTCCTTTTTTCTTACCTTCCTGTAGAAATTTCCCCTACTTTCTTTCATCCCCACTTGACAATCGTGTCCTCAAAGTTTCTGATCCGTGGGGACTATTGCACGTTTTGCCGTGGGTATAAAGTCTCCTTTCAAAAATCCCTGTTCTCGCAGTGTACTTAACAGTTTCCTGATGGGTGCATGCAACACCAATATTTTCCTTCTTTGTACCTTCTGCTTTAACCTCCCCTTTGCTTGTACACCGGGTAGGTGATATCATGTGGAGGAATCACCAATGAGCAATGAGCACGTCGGCGCACTTGTGGGTGAGTATCGATGATAAAGCAGATGCAAACTCGTCTGGGAGATTCCGTTCCCTTCGCCCCAATGGTATGAGAGACATTGAGTTTATTTTGCAATGCAACACCGGGGGGGTCGTGGCAAGTTTGCTGGCGAGAAGAGGTATCGGCTCAAGCGTTCGTCAAGGCAGTCGCATTTAGTTGGGGGAGTGAAGCGTCCGCAAAGGCCATAGGCATTTCATAGTTGTGGTGTGATGGTGGGTTTGCTGACAAGAGCGTCCAAGAAAGTCTTTGGAGGTTTCAAGCGTGGTCGTCTACAACCCATGCAGTTCGTATCTGTCAGGCGAATGCAGTTTTTTGGGAGGGTTCAAGCGTGGTCGGGTTGAACGTATCTGTCAGACAAATGCAGTTTTTTGGGAGGTTTCAAGCGAGGTCGTCTTTTACACTTCAAGCGTGGTCGGGTTGTGCGTATCTGTCAGACAAATGCAGTTTTTTGGGAGGTTTCAAGCGAGGTCGTCTTTTACACTTCAAGCGTGGTCGGGTTGTGCGTATCTGTCAGACAAATGCAGTTTTTTGGGAGGTTTCAAGCGAGGTCGTCTTTTAGACTTTTTACAACCCGCGCAGTTTGTATCTGTCAGACAAATGCAGTTTGCAGATAAAGGGGAGAGGTTGCACCGTAAGGTGGATGCGTAAGCTAGAAGTCCTCTGACAGAGGTTTGAAGGAGCATTGAGTCGTTGGCCGAGTGAGCGAGGATGGAATCTTGTCTGTAAATGACGTTCACCAGGTCGCTGACGTGCTCAGAGAAAGGAGTTGCTGACTTTCCAACTACCGAACAGGACAGGTCCCTTAGAGGTTTACCTTATCGCCGATGCATTTTCGCAACACAAACGTTGACGTCAGACATCTATCTACTATATTGCAGTCATCGACATTGACATCAGACAGCGTGCGAGCTTATCGCTCATGTGGTCGGAGTTCATCCCTGACGCGGTTGGAGTTCATCCCTGATGCGGTTGGAGTTCTCGCCAATGTGGTTGGCAGTCGGAGCCTATCTCGCGGCTGTGGCTAGCAAAAGGATGTTGCCGATTTGCTACCTAAGTAACAGGTCATGTTGCTTTGTCAAGAGAACAGGTGATGTTGCTTTTTCAAGAGTTTCCGTTTTTTCGATGTTTTCAATACTTTTCAAGATTTTTCACTCTGTGCTTGGTACCTTTGTGTGATATATGTTTTCAACTTCTCAATTTATGTTTTCGACACCCCGCTCAATCGGATGGATCTAACGCAGACTCCCACAACGCAACGTGATAGACGTCTGCGTCCGTCAGCAGCAATCATTGTGGTTTCTGGTTGGGATGCGAGGGTTGTTTTTAAATTGGCCATAGGCCAAATTGAATAGAATCCTGTCGAGAAAAAGAATCGTACATTTTGACATGGAGAAATAAACCGGATGCGAAATTCTTGTAAAATGCTGCAGGAAAATTGTGTAATTTTTACTAATTAAAATGATTAAAGTCTAATTTGCAATTTACAACCATGGTACACGCCGCCAGAGTTGGTTGGTAGGTTTTGAGAGTGATCAAATTGGTTGGTGTGAAGATACCGGAGGTGTTGCCAAGGCTTTAAGGATGGGAGTGTTGTTTTCTCTCTTGTCGCGCACTGACAAATTATTTCACAGCTGGCCAGCGTGTCCCACCTTTTTCTGTTCATCTAACCAGTTGCGATCAGCGGGAGATGCGATCAACGGGAGATCAAACACTCGGTGTTGTTGTATTGGAGGAGAGAAGAGTAGCGAACTGCCAGGTAACACACAGCTGAAAATAAATAGATATATCTGGGCTTGGGCAAGTCGCCCAGGGGGCACCCCCTGTGCAGGCAAAAATCAGCGCTTTTATTATTATTATCATTATTATTAATTTTTTTTTTTTAATTATTTTATTGGTGGAGGTTTTATAAGAATGGCCAGAGGAGCCCGAATCTGAGCTCCTTTCTTTCTTCAAGTGTTGGCTGCGAAGGGGGCGTAAGGGGGGGTATAAATTGGGTTTTAAGGGGTCAAAGGGGTTTAAAACTTAAAAGGGGATGCCTCCGTCTGATTCTGTTGTTTTTATCTTTGATTCCGCAAGGATTTCTGAAGTGACCCTCGGTCCGAAGTCGTTTGTATTGCGATTCTACACAACATTTTATTTTATTTTTCTGTTTTTTTTTTCCCGTTTTCCTTTTTTGGGCTCTTGGGTTGCCCGGAATCCTGTCCGGGGTTCATGCCCGGCCGCGCAGCCGGGCGTGTATCCAGGCACAAGTTGGGAAAATGTCCTTTGTTTTGCAAAATTGCAAATCTATCTAGGCTTTTTGTCCGGGCACCCAGCTTGTGCCCGGCAAGGTTTCTTAAGGACATTTTCAATTTTTCACTACATTGCTTGTGCACTTTCCCACTCAACCAAACCATTCAGACCTCCAAGCGTATTCGTTGCGATGCTTGATTTCGCTCCCCCGCGCAAAGTGCTGCGCAATGCGTGTTGAGCCTGGCTGAGGCAGCCATATGCATCGTATCTGTGCTTGGATTTGATTTCGCTGCCCTGTGAAGTACTGCAGCACTATGTGTGTCCGCCCTGGCTGAGGCAGCCGTGTGTGTCATATTTGTGCTTTAACTTTTTTTTCAAAGTATACTTTCTTGATTTTTCTGTTCTTTTTCATACACCTGTAAAGGGCCTATATCTAACCATGATTTGCATTCATTTCTTTCAATTCTTTGTTGAATGAGAGTCTGGGGAATCCCCAGATGGCCAAGGTTTTGCGCTCACAAACTGACCAGGGCCCTGCAATGGAGAGAGAGATTGGCTGGGTGCTGGTGGCTTAGACGACGAGCACACCCGGGCCTGGAGTTGTTGCAGTGCACACCAGGCTTTTCCGAACCGCCAGTGGCACAATTGTTTTTCTTTTTGGATGGTGGCGCCAGCCATTGCGCGGTCCAATAGGCCGGAGCTGCAAAATTTTCGAACTAGGCCCAGTCTAGGCGGCGAAGAATTTCTACAAGGCTGGGGCCATATACTGGCGGTTTAACATCGTGCTCACTACGTTATATTATTTGTTAAATAAAGAGTGTCCACCGTCTTTCCTTTCATTGGATTATAGTATCATTATACTAAATAATCTACGCTACCAGCCAGGCCGCCCGGGTCCTGGGTGGCCAGCCCATGCAAGGACCAGGGAAGGTCCCAGCAAAAAAAAAAAAAAAAAAAAAATCGCAAAAATCCGAAAAACAGCTATGCTATGCAGAAAAATGAACTGAACAACTTTTGCCTCAGGGTCACATCGAAATTCTTCACCAAATTTAGAATAAACAGCCCCTCGTTTGTTGTCCTCTTCTCTCTCTCTGCCTACGGTTTACCGGGCAGTTCTATTTGTGACGATATATATATATATATATATATGACCCCGGGCCTCTCTGGCAGCCTAGCTAATAATAATAATATAATAATAATAATAACAATAATAATAATAATAATAATAATAATAATGATAATAATAACAATGATAATTGTTGTAATAAACAATTAATTATACGAAGAGTGCTGCCTATCTAATCTACGCTACCAGAGTGGCCCGGGGCCACTTGCCCAGCCGGGCCAAAATAAACTTTAAAAAAATTAAAAATTAAAAATTAATTTCTTTCTTACTTTTAATTTGGTAAAAAAATTGTTCAGTTTAGGGTTGCCAGGCCGAACGTAAGGAAATTAAAAATTAATTTCTTTCTTACTTTTAATTTGGTAAAACAATTGTTCAGTTCAGGGTTGCCAGGCCGAACGTACGGAAATTAAAAATTATTTTTTTCTTACTTTTAATTTGGTAAAAAAATTGTTCAGTTCAGTGTTGCCAGGCCGAACGTACGGAGGCCCCTAAGCTGACCCCCGAACGTTCAAGCGTTCGGGTCCCCGTACGGGCCCCGAACCTGAAGGGGTGCGGACCCCGCAAAAACATATTTTGGCACCTAAATATTATTTTTTTTTTCTGAAACATTTTCTGTGAGTTCTTTGTGATGTAAGATATCTCCCTCTTAATTTTGAAGCCATTCTGTTCAGCCAAAAAAAAAAATGAAAAATCAGCAAAGATGATGGTGTCAAAACTTGCTTGCCCACTCACTAATTTGTTTTTTCTCTCTTTTCACTATTTGTTTTGCCTTTATTTCGGGGCATGAAAAAAATATATATTTTTTCAAACTTTGTGTATATTCTCTATTATGTAAGATACACATGTATAAATTTCCATGGCATTTGTCACAGCCAAAACAAAATAAAAAATCACCAAAGATGGCGGTGTGCAAAAAGTGCTCACCCACTCAGTAATTTCATTCTCGTTTTATTTTTTCTAATTTTTAATATTTTTATTTATTTATAGTATTTGATTTTTATTTTAAATTTGGTAAGTAATTTGGATGTAACATTGAGGCCAATGCTGTTTAATTTATTCTTCTGTATAACATATATATTTTTCAGATTTTAAATTATTTTATGGATTTTTTTTTAATTATTTTTAATTTTTTTGGGTCCACATTCGGCCGAACACGTCGATAGGGGGTGTCGAACGTTCGGGCGTTCGGGTTCGATCGTTTGGCCCGTCCCGAACGCTGGCAACCCTGGTTCAATTTATATTTTTGCAAAACGTTGTTTTTTTTTTTTTTTTTTTTTTTTTTGTCTTTTTTTTAAGGACCTTCCTTGGTCCTTGCACGGTCGGTCCGTCCGGGAAAATAGGGTGACCCGGGCAGCCCGGATGGCAGCCTAAATAATAATAATAATAATTGTTGCAATAAAGATTAAATAAATAATTAATTTAATTGTTTCTTTTAATTTTATTATGATTATTATTGTTAGTATTATTATTATTATTATTATTATTATTGTTGTTGTTGTTGTTGTTGTTGTTGTTGTTGTAATGAACAGGAAATTATAATAAAACAGTGCTGCCCATCTTTCCCTTAATGTTAATAATAACTGTTGAAATAAAAAATTAATTATAATAAAGAGAGTTGCCCATCTTAGGGTGACCCGGGCGGCCCGGCTGGCAGCCTAAATAATAATAATAATAATTGTTGCAATAAAGATTAAATAAATAATTAATTTAATTGTTTATTTTAATTTTATTATGATTATTATTGTTATTGTTATTATTATAATAATTATTATTATTGTTGTTGTTGTTGTTGTTGTTGTTGTTGTTGTTGTAATGAACAGTAAATTATAATAAAACAGTGCTGCCCATCTTTCCCTTAACGTTAATAATAACTGTTGAAATAAAAAATTAACTATAATAAAGAGAGTTGCCCATCTTTCCTGCACATCACACCTAATGAGTGGCTAGCCAATCAAGATCTGCGGCTTTGCAGCCAGATGCAACGCACCATGAGATGCAGAAGAGTGTTGTATGTACTTGTTTTCCCAATGAAGGCACAAATTGCACAACGGTTTCTTTGTGCATCCTTGAACTTAACCAGATTGCAAGCGCGTGAGGGAATATATACATATATACAAGGTCACCAGCCCGTACGTACGGGCATTTGGGGTCCGGTACAGGGTCCGAATGCGACGGCGTTTGGCCCCGGCCAAAAATGATTTGGGGACCTAAAAATAAGTTTTTCTTCCTGAATTTTTTTTTTTTTTAGTTCTCTATGATGTGAGGTACATTCCTATAAATTTTGAAGTCATTTGGCTAAGGCAAACGAAAACTAAATCGGCAAAGATGGCGGTGTCAAAACGTGCTCGACCACTCGCTATTTTGTTTTTTTTTACTTTTTACTTTTCATTTTCACTTTATTGCGGGGCGTAAACAGTTTTATTATTTTTTGATTTTTTTTTGATGCATTTTATATTATGTAAAGTACACATCTGTAAATTTTCAGGGTATTTGGATCTCCCCAAAAAAAAATGAAAAATTGCCAAAAATGGCGGTGTCGGAAACGTGCTCGGTCACTCACTAATTTTCTCTCTTTTAATTTTATCTTACTTTTATTATATGTTTTATTTTTTGTATTTTATTTTTATTTCAAAATTCGTAAGGAATTTGGATGTAATGCTCAGGCATATCTGTTTTTTAATTTTTTTTTTAATTGTTTTTTTTTTTTTTTTGTCTGTGTTCGAATGGCCGAACGCATCCCCAAGGTTTCCATACGTTCGGGCGTTCGGGTTCGGGCGTTTGGCCCATCCCGAATGCTGGTTACCCCGCATATATATATATATATATTGTTGGCTTGTGATGGGGTGTGAACCGACAGTCTGTAGAGTTTTTCATCTGGTGTGGGTGAGTGATAGTCTACTTTGATTTTGGTTAAGGTAGGTTATCATTTACAGTGTAATCAGTGAGGGGATTTTGCAGACTGTTGAGGGTTCAGCCTCCTGATGAGTCGGTGAAACTCCGACGAAACAGTTTGTCACAGCCCCTCGTTTGTTGTCCTCCTCTCTCTCTGCCTACG